TCCATTCATGTCAATTGCAGATACATGTTTAGTCTTCTCAAGCACCACCTATCAAATATCTCTCCTGATTGTTGGCACTTGACAATCACCTTACCTGAATTTTACTCAGGTGTAACTAAAGTCTGATTTAAGGGTTGTTTATATTTCACATAATTAATCAGAATCTGCAAAGTAACTCAAATAAATGCAGTGGAGTAAAAATACCAGGTTAACCTCTGAATTGTAGTGGAGTAGAATTACAAAGTAACAATGAGCTGTCATATGGATATATATAGCGATTTTCACCCATTTATTAATTATAATAAATAATATATAATAGTTTTACATTTGATAACGCCAATGTGTTTAATACTGGCAACTTCTAATTGTGGGAAAAACGAAAACGTTCAGTAGAGACGTCCCATAGAACATTTGGCGAAACACAATAGCCAGCATCCAGCATGTGTAGTTCTGGGGGGGGCGTTCGATTCCAGTTTTGGATAGTCTGGCGTGGTTTCGTTCCATTTCACACAGCTGTTTGACGCTCTGTTTAACCTTACGGGGGACTGTAGTCCTAAACGATAGCTGGGGATTATGGGTAGTGTAGTGTCTTCGGCCATCCTAAACTCAGAAAGGTTGACAATCGCAATGACGCTGGAAATGTCCCTTATAGTCTGTTTCCGGATATTTTATTTTGAAATTCAGTCCCTGACGGACGCCAAAAAAGCCCGAGATTATGGAATTAAACCAATAAATAAAAGCAAGGATAATTGTGTGTTATTGGTGAGTAAATAACAGTGTGTTATTTTGAAAAGAATAACAAATTAGAAGGAAAAAAATATTTTAAAAATACAGATTTCAGTATCCTGAGGCTCTGAGCCCCATTTATTTTCCTCACAGACGGAAACAAAAGTCCAAAATTATACGATTTAAAATAAAAGCAATAATTGTGGCTTGATATTGAGTAAGAACATGTTTTTATGAACCACACAGCTTCAGGTCTTCCTCGACCCGACCGGAGAAAAAGACGTGCTGCAGGCAATAGAAATACATTGCTTTTAAAATCGTGCTGTGCAACACGAAAATAAATCGTGCTGTGCAACACGAAAAAAAGGGGCAAATCGTGTTGGGGAACACGAATCAATAGATTAAAAATCGTGTTGGTGAACACGAAATGCCGTGAGACTGGGTTGTCTGTGTTCACCTCTGCATGTGTGTTCAGTGCCGTGTGTCTGGCAAATAAAGTCCAGACCCCCTCAAAAGTTACGGTTTATTTCATTTTAAGGATGAGCACCAAGCAACATCTCCAGGTGCTCCTTTGAGAACCAGGGCAAAAAAGTTATGTGCACCCCTGTTTATATATATAGGATTACTTTAAAACAGTCCCAAATAATACATATTCACTTCAATACAGTTCAAGATAATACCTGTTTACTTTAATACAGTTTAGAACAATATCTGTTTGCTTTAAGGGGAACATGGGAGAAACCTCAGGGAGAGCAACAGAGGAGGGATCCCTCTCCCAGGACGGAAAGACGTGCAATAGATGCCGTGTGTAAATCGAAAAGATAATACATTTACAACAAACCAAATGTTTGGAAATGCATGCGTCTATAATAATAAGATGAATCCACGAGGATGTCAGCAATCTTGTGGAGCCATCAGGGAAGTATGGTGAGAGCAGGACCGCAGAGACAGGTTCAGCCACGACTCGAAGTACAGGACTCAGGATAGAGGATCCAGGACACACGGATAGCCTATATCCAGTCTCTGATAGTGTTACGTTATTATGAGAGTGCTCTGTTTGATTCTGAAATTGTATATATTTATATAAATATATACATATATATATATATATGTGTTTGTGTGTGTGTGTAAGTGTGTGTGTGTGTGTGTGTGTGTGTGTGTGTAAGTGTGTAAGTGTGTGTGTGTCCGCATCTGTAGCCTGTTATTGTCTCATTATACCGCACTGTGAATGAATTAAAGTAAATATATAAGTCATCATGAACACATCTGTCCATCAGACAGAGGGCTGCTGTGCCTCCTGTCATCATTAATGGACGTCTCTTTAAAATGACCGCTCAGAGGAGAGGAGTTCTCATTTCTCTAACCGCCTGCTGCTTCCACTCCTCTCTCCCCTCCTCGGCTCCTCCGTTCGCATCTCCTGTGGGCGGGACTAAGTCTCGAGGATAGGAGTCGAGGAGGGGAATTAGTGAAATGAGAAAGGGCCCGGGTCGGCGTCTGGGTCCGGATCCGGACCACGGTCCGCCTGTTGCCGACGCCTGATCTAGAATGTGTGTGTGTATAGGTCAAAAGTTCAGAATGTTCTATCTAGTTTCACATGCCTGAAACAACAAAGAAGGAAACATATCCTTTCCATTCACAGACAATTTAGCATATTTTTATCAATGGTAAGCTTAATAGAGGTAGGTGAGGTAAAGGTCAGGTCTGACACGCCCACTTACAAAGCAGAACTGTCAACAATTGACTATTTTTAAATCTGACTTGAAAGGCCTTGTGAAAATGTGAGGAGATGTTTCATGCATAACTTCGAGCAACAAATAAAACAAACAGTTATTGTTGTTTAGAATCTAAAATCAGCTAAAATGTAATCCTGCTGACCTTAACATATACTGAGTTTTGAACCACTGAAATATAAAATAAAATAAAAGGCTATTTGCCATGTTTTTCAAATCTTGCCAGATTCATAGATTGGTTTTGATCCTTGACATACGGAAACCTTTCAAGATTTCCTATTGTGTTTTAAGACTTGTTTCCTGTCATCTGAAATAACACTGAACACATTACTCACACAAACAACAAAGACCAGTGACCTTGAAATTAGCATATTTATTTTTGTATTTAAAATTGTACTTGTCAAGACTGTTATCTTGGATGAAAGACAAAATATTTAATCCGTTTCACATTGAGTTCTTGTTTAGTTCAGTGAATATAAAAATGTGCTGGGAGGGAAACCATTTGAAAAGGCATTTTTTCAAAGTATAAGAAAAGGAGGGTTTTGTGTATGCATGATGAGTTAAAACTGAGAACCTGGGAAGAGGTGTATTCTGGCTTTTTACCAAACCCCCGTTAGTCATGTGACCCTCATCACATTTCACCCAGTTTTTTCTACCACACACAACAAACACACATAAGTGTGTGTTGACACAATGCAAACAAATGTAGGACATCATGTTGATTCAGCGTTTTATATCACAAAGGGGGAAACTAGTTTTATACAAATATGGCAAAACTACAGGAAGCAAATGGTAGGTCTTAAGTCCAACTGTTATATCCTTAAAACATGTAATTAAATCAAACCTAATTTTTCCTCATATGAGTTGTTGGCATACATACTTGTATAATGCTAAAGTCTGTAGTTAGTTAGCTCATTGTAAAGAGTAGTTTTAGTTTTATAGTCACTGCCTTGACTCATAAAAGTGAATGCTATCTCACTGATATCAGCCCCACTGTTTTCTGCCCTATGCCGTAGAATATCCAATCACTGATAGTGGAAACACACATTTCATCCTACAAGCTCTTGACACAAAAAGCCATCAACTTATATATTTTTTTATGGAATTAGCCACAGGAAATGTGTCATGAAATACAAATGATGTGTAAACCAGGCCTTCCTGTTCAGCATTTAGTGCTCGAGTCCCTGCTTTCTCAGACCAAGCATATCGTTTATTTTACTGTTTTCTTAACGCCACGATCACACATTTACAGATGTCTTTGATTCATAAGCCATTTGACCAGTAATCCATATAAAACCTTTCATGTAAATATTAGGGCTGTCAAGTTAACGCGTTAATAACGCGTTAACGCAAAAAAAAATTAACGCCACTAATTATTTTAACGCGATTGACGCATGTGTATTTTTGGTCCTCGGCCCGCCCCGTAGTTTCAGAGTGCATCGAGTTTAAAATACCATCTACAAGCTGATGCAGACAGCCCCGCTCCTGCCGCCCGCTTGCTGCATACCACACTTCCACGCTCACCGGCAGGCCCTGACTGGCCATGGGAGGGGTGTGTGTATGTGTGGCTGCGAGAGAGAGGACCTTAGGTGATTTGTTGTTGTTGTTAGCATCTGGTGCTAGCTAGCTGCGCTAACGGCTATTAGGAGCTGTTTAAATTAAAACAGAGGAGCGAACATTTTCGCCGACAACTGCCGCCGAGCACTTGACTTTATGCAGGAAGCCAGACAGTGGGTCATTGTACGAAAAGTCAGCACGGATTAGTGCGCGCAACATGCATTGCAGCGGCCAGGCAGCTCCCGTTCGAGCATATGCCTTGAGTTGCCAAATAGCTCCAACGAGCCAATCACACACACACACACCACACACACACACACACACACCACACACACACACACACAACACACACACCACACACACACCACACCACACACACAACACACACACACACCACACACCCACACACACACACACACACACACACACACACACACACACACACACACACACTACAACACACACACACACACACACACACACACACACACACACACACACACACACACACACACACACACACACACACACACACACACACACACACACACACACACACACACACACACACACACACACCACTTTGTATTATTGTATGAGAAAGATTCCAGATTGAATTGAGGCGAATATTTGTAATGTTCAGAGGTTGTTGTGTTTAATATTCATGAGAATATTTGGCATTGTTCAAATGATAATTACATTTGCATAAAGCATATTTGTCCACTCATATGTTGATAAGAGTATTAAAAACTTGAAAAATATTCCTCTAAGGAACATTTAGAACAGATAGAAAATGTGCGATTAATTTGCGATTAATCGCGATTAACTATTTTAATCGACTGACAGCCCTAGTAAATATACAAGTTAACAGTTATTAACCAAACCATTTTTAACACAAATTAGTATTTATCATATTATTTAGCTTCATTTGACTTTTTCTAGCAGTATAACTATTACACATATACATACATATACAGTAGAGGCATGTAATAGGCCTTTCTCTTTAATGAAAATGTATAACAATTACATTTAACACATTTAATGTTATTATCAACTCTAACTAGCTTGACAAATGTGGCGTGATGAAAAACAAAAGTTTCTAATGAAGTTAAAATACATATTTGTAGCTTTATCCATTGTTCATATTCTCCACATGTGTTACGATTAATTGTTGAAGATATAATTATATGATTGTTGGATAGATTAATGAATCCACTTATGTGTTGTATACAGAATCTAAACCATATGTTAATCAATCACCACAGTATACTTATTTTGTAAAAATAATATGGAAACTATACAGTTTTGACTCTAAATATCTATATATGTTGAATGAAAACAAATCAACATATGAAATAAGATGAGTGATTAGTTGACAGGCATGATGATCAGAGGTGCAGCGTTTTTACGGCCACATTTAAGACCTGGGCAGAAGAATGGGAAGAGTTTCTCAGTGAAGGAGCAGCCAGTGAAGGAGTAGATAAGAGCTGCAGCATCTACATCATAAAAGGAGACCAGACCCTCCTCATAATCCACAAACACCCCCACCTTCTTAGGCCGAGACTTCAGAGAGAGAAGGACTGAAGGATCATCATTAGCTTCATACTCATTTCCATTTCTCAAACATAAAGACCAGAAACCCCCCTGAGGGCTCAGTGTGATATCTCCCTTCCTGTTGATCGACTCTCTGGCCACTCCTAAATCCCACTCGGTCTTTCCTTTAACTTGAACCTCAAAGTAAAATCTGCCTGAAGAGAAACTCTGCTTTCCTAAAACATTATTCCAATCAGAAAATCTCTCTGGGTTGTCTGGGAGATTCTTCTTTACATCACCATCATCGCTGACTTGTTTTCCATCATCAGACAGGATGAGACTGGGATATGCTGTATTAGGATCAAGAGTCACATCCACTGCGTAGCTCTGGACCCTCTTCAGCTCAGCCTCAAGCAGCTTCTTCATCTCTTGGCTGAGTGTCTCCTCCAGCTGAACCACAGCTCTCACCACAGTCCCTTCATATGATGATGGAGGGATGCTGACCTTTGTCCAGTCCTTGGTGGGTGATGGGTGTTGGATGTTTAGGGACTGGACACCCTGGAGAAGATAGTGGTGGTCTTCAGAGCGTGAGAGATGTTCAACTTTTGCACTTCTCTTCTTCAGCTGAGAGATTTCCTGTTCCAGCTCTTTGATGAAGTCTTCGGCCCGTTTCATTCTCATGTTCTGCTTCCCTTCTATTGTTTGGATGAACTCATTCAGGTTTCTCTCAACAGACTCCTTCAGAGCAGTGAAGACCTGAACTCCTTCTGCTATCTCTCTGTCTGCTTCTTTCTTACTGAGGTCCACTGAGCGTTTGATCTCCTCAATCTTCAGTTGTCTCTTCCGGATCATTTCCTGACTTCTAGCCTCTTTCTTTCCCAGCGCTGCCTTCTGCCCTTCATATGCTTCTTTGAGAGGAACCACATCATGCATCTTGTGGTCTAAAACAGTGCAGAGCATACAGACACATGTCTGGTCGGTCCTACAGAACAGCTCCAGAGGTTTATCGTGCTTCGGACACATCCTGTCTTCCAGGTTCTCCACAGGGTCGATCAGCTGATGTCTTTTCAGACCTGACATTGTCAGATGAGGCTCCAGGTGAGTCTCACAGTAGGAGGTCAGACACACCAGGCAGGACTTCAGGGCCTTCAGTTTGGTTTCAGTGCAGACGTCACAGAAAACTTCTCCTGGTTTGAAGACTTGTTGCTCTGAGCTGCTGCTGCTGCTGCTGCTGCTGCTGCTGTTGCTGCTGCTGGCTTTCTGTTGAGCCGACTGTCTGAACTGAGCGACCATGTCAGAGATGAACGTGTTCACCCTCAAATCTGGTCTTGTATTAAAAGCCTCTTGACACATGGGACACTGGCACCTGTCACTTCTATCCCAGTGTTCAGTGATGCAGTCTTTACAGAAGTTGTGTCCACATGGTATAGTGACTGGATCAGTGAACAAGTCCAGACAGATGGAGCACAGGAACTGATCCTCAGATGGCAGATAGCTTGCAGCAGCCATATCTACACACATGTGAAAGTAAAGAAAAAACATTTGAAACATCAATCATCAATTCATATCATATATTGTTTTAAAGAAATAACTTTGATAACTTGTAACAAGTCATGAGCAACCGTGACCATTTAACTCTGACAGGTTCAAGCATGCAACTCTGGCAAACAGCTATGAAAATACATGTTGTCTCGATCATTTTTCTATTGAAAAATAACACTGCTCTTCTCACTGTGTGACCATAACCATTAATTTCCTCTAGCTGCTTCACATTAAAAGCCTCCAACTGTTTCTCTAATGGAAATATTTTATTTTGAAACAGCTAGAGGAAATGGGTAAAAGCATTATGTAGGAAGTGATCAGTAAAATGTAATAAGAGCAGGAGAGCAGAAGTGAATTCAAACTCCTCACCACAGAGATTCAGTTACAAGTTACTAAAGTACTAAGAGTTGATAGAAAGAGACTGTTTAAAGTGGACTCTATATCATATGGTTATGTTGTTGGAGAAAAACAAGTTGGACGTAAAGGAGCTGAAGTAGAGCTGAAGTTTAGTGTTAATCCTTCTTGTTGAAAGTGTAAATATAATCAGATGTACTCACCAGTGTTTGACAGAGACTCTGCTGCGTTGTTGAGAAAGATCTGATGAACTCAGTTTGTATTTTCTGTGAGAGAAACGGAGACTAGTCTCGACTGCAGTGTGGCTGCCTCTCTGACTAACTTAACATTCGTTTCCTGAGTTTGACGTGTAAGCTCTCCTCTGTCCACTGTAGCTCCTCCTCTCACTGTCTGATGGTTTGGTTCCCTCCCTCTGATCAACAAGGTTTTCTATGATAGTTAGGGAGCAAAGGTTCTGCTTCACAGGTGTGTCAAGCTGTTTCTTATCTTTATCATGATCAAGTTTTACTTCAGAAGAGTTCAGTTACATTTATTGGACACACATGTCAGTTAAATGTCATGGATGACATAATCCACATCCATACAACAAGTACAATATGTATCCACTCTAAAACTGAAATCTATATACAATCAAATAAACTAAAGGCCTTTTAGACATTGAATATGTAACATTACCCCCTAATCCCACCAGAAGCGTCTGCGCTGCGGCGTTTTTAGCGATCACGGCCACTCTAGTCAAGGGGTGCTATTCCACCAGACCCGCTGCGCCGCGGCTCGAAGCGTCCCAGAAGCTCCTTGCCGCAAGGAATTTCTAAAATATAGGATGAATCCTATTTTTGACGCGGCGCAGCGCAGGCAGGAAGTGGAACGTTCATCCAACAACTGCACACACGACGCTCCGCTTCCGCAACGTTTTGAAACGCGCCTGGTGGGTTAGGACGCAGGAGGATGGTCGCAGCGCGGCGCAGACGCTTCCGGTGGGATCAGGGGGTTAGTGGTCATGATAACAAGGACGAAGAGTGTTTTCTCTCAGGCAGCATCCCTTATGGATCATTATGGCATGTTGTTGCCTGAATTAAAGCAATCATGTTATCCTGTTCTCTCGTGAGATATTGGGTCTCAATGTATGATGCTGAAACATAACAACATGTTAAATGTCCTCAATGCACTGTATAAAAAAAAGAGAGGGACGGTTAGAGAAATGTTATCTGCCAGTGATTGAACCACTTAAATCAAGGTTACTTTAAATATTAAAGGAGCAGTTAAAGCCATGAACAAAATTAAAATCTTGCTGTTTTACAGGTGGCTGTTAAATCCATTTCTTGGTTTTTAATTTTGGCTTTTTTTTTACTATTGCCTATAAAAACAACATTACAGTAAACATTACATAATCGCATTCATTTCTTATGGCTCTATCTGCAGCTTTTCTGGAGTCATTTCTTATGGTTACATTTTTCCACAGGCCAACAACAGCTTCAAAAAAACAATTTCCCTCAAAGAAAAAACCAAACATGCCCTGCTGCCTCAGGAAAGAAAGTGCAAAAGGAAACATCCATTAAACTCAGTGTGCTGCTCTGTGATGCTAGTTCAAGCCAGATACTTGGCATCTCATCTTGGGTGCAGGTTCATCAATGTTTGGGCTCAGGCTCTGAGCTGAGGAAACCCTCAGGAGGGAGTGAAGGTGTGCGTGCAATATACCGGCGGGTCGGATCTAATAGTAATTAGAAATTATTCTGTGGGCCGAAATTAAATCCATCAAGGGCCTGATTTGGCCCCCGGGCCTTGAGTTTGACACATGTGCTCTAAGGTTTCCCTTGCCAAAGCTGTGCTGTATCGAGTGTGAATTTCACAATAAGCGTTTGCATCTTGAAAAGTACGAGTGGCTCACAGATCAGATCTGATTATTGATCACTCAGAAACAGTTTGACTTCCTGTTGCTGTTTGTCCCGCAGCTCCCCGACTTGAAGGACGCTGACCCCCTAATCGCACCAGGAGCGTCTGCGCTGCGGCTGCGCTGCGCTGCGACCTCCTCCTGCGTCCTAACCCACCAGGCGCGTTTTCAAAACGTTGCGGGAAACGGAGCGTCTTGTGTGCAGCCTCGCAGTTGTTGGATGAACATTCCACTTCCTGCCTGCGCCACGTCAAAAATAGGATTCATCCTATATTTTAGAAATTCCTTGCGGCGAGGAGCTTCTGGGACGCTTCGAGCCGCAGCGCAGACGCTCCTGGTGGGATTAGGGGGTTAGGCGGTGCAGAAGTTCTTCCTGAAGGAGATCCAGCTGGGGGAGGAGCTGCTGGCTCAGGGTCACACACACACACACACACACACACACACACACACACACAACACACACACACACACACACAACACACACACACACACACACACACACACACACACACACACACACACACACACACACACACACACACACACACACACACACACACACACACCACACACACACACACACACACACACACACACACACACACACACACACACACACACACACACACACACACACACACACACACACACACCACACACACACACCCACACACACACACACACACACACACACACACACACCACACACCCACACACACACACACACACACACACCTCTTGTTTCCTCCGCCACATCTCCTCCGTCAATACCTCTGGGAAAGGTGAGCTTACCCCTAGTTTCCACTGGGTCCGTCTGCGGCGTGTTACGGCCGCGTTGCGGCTGCGCCGTGGCGTCCGCAAGGATCGCGGGCCACTCTAGTCAATGGGTGCTATTCCACCAGACGCGCCGCGTTACGGCTCAGAAGCGTCCCAGAAGCGTCTCGCCGCTGGGCTCCGCTCGAAATAGGATTGAAGTCTATTTTTTCGACGCGACGCAGCCGTAACCCCTAGTTTCCACTGGGTCCGTCTGCGGCGGGGTTACGGCTGCGCCGCGGTTTTGGTCCGGCCTCCTCCGGCGTCATACCCTACGGGCGCGTTCACAAGCGTTTCAGAAGTATTACGGAAGCGGAGCGTCGTGCCCAAGCCCCCAGGAAGTTGCGCCAGACTCAGATGAAAATATTCTTGCTGGCCAAACGGCGGGTACTACACTTCCGTTTGGTTGCCAGGCCCGGAAACACTTTTTCCCATTGACTTACATGGGGAAAGAGTGGTCTGTAAATCGTTGGATCATTTTTTTTAAACTAAATAAACTACCCAGTATGAACACTTGTATAGCCCTTATTAAAAACATTCGTTCCTCAAGTTGTAAAAATGTGCTAATAACGTTATTCTGAGAGTTATTTCCCTCTGCATTATGAACGCGCATCTAACCCACGGGACCGCGCCGCCCGGCACGTTCATGTTACGTGTCTCGACCAATCAGAGCACACTGTGCTCACAGGAAGGGTGGGGGCTGGAGCTATTGGAGCTACAACGAGCCGTTAAAGGCAGAGAGTGAAATTCAGTGAATACAATACACGTAGTTTACAGAGATGCTGTTTGAAAAACCAATGTGAGTTGCGTTTATCTTTACCCATGGATGCACAATAAGAATGGAACCATACCTCCATCCCACGGAGCTGTAATAATGGATATATTGTACATGTTTGCTATAATTCATTATCATACTACATGGGCTGTATGATTACATCTTGTACCGTAAATGTTGTATTAAATAAAGTTAATATGACTTATTATAATAAGTATATATATATATATATATATATATATACAGTGCAATCATTCTTTCATGCTAAATGAAGCTCTGTTGCATGGATATCACTAGATCCTGTTACAGCGTAATAGAAGTACATAACGATTGATGTGTACATTAGCATAATGACTAGCTAGCCGCTAGCTGCTAACTGCCGCCTCGTTAATATCAAATCCATCATAATAACAAATCATTACCATGCTGTCATGAACGTGCGGTGCTGTTACGTGTACGCAAATTGACGTGCTTGATGTGAACGAGCATTTTGGTTAAAGTTGCGCACGCGCTATGAGCGCACATACGGGTACTTCTCAGGCATGCCGGGTAATCTGTGACGTTTCGCTCTCTCAAAAGTTGGGCCATTTTATCATCATGCGCTAATGAGCAACTCTCATAGGAATGAATGAGGCCCCGCCTCCCACGCTGTATCCAGTTCTTATTATACATCCATGGGTTCAGAGAGACTCAGAAAGTTCCCGGAAGTTCGTGGCGGGCCATTTGAATCACGATTTGAATACATTAATAACAGGATAGAAATGCAATTTTTGGTAATTAGTGGTCAATAAAGGTTTTGATTTGCAATATTTATACAACATATCGATTTGTGTATGTAGTTACATCAATGTTTGTGTTTTTTTTTTTTTTAAATGTGCTAATATTTGAGGATTAAGATAAAATAATAAGTAGCCTACTTTATTGATACCAATTGGGGAAATGTTTACGCTGCAGCAGCAAAAGACAAGGAGGCATTGTACATTAGACAGTTAAAAGACTATAATTAAACAATCGAAAATGTAAACATCTTAAATAGAAATAACAGCATTACAACGTAGAAAGTAGAAAATATACAGTGTGAACAGCTATCTTACCTATTAACATACATGTTAGGCTAACGTTGCCTTGGTTAAAGAGCCTGTTGTTTATTGCTTTGAATTCTTTAAAACAAATATTATCTTCTTAAACCTGTATGGTAGTCAGGAGCATCACATCCTAATGTTTGATATATTTAGAGGGAGGGAAGAAAGGTTTAAAAATTCTGATTAGATACATTTCTACCATTTCTTTAATTCATGGTGGTTTTAGTAATCCCTTGGTAATTGAGGACACAAGTAATCTAAAGTACTAATGTAATCTTTATGACTTTCAGAAAGGACAGGAGACCCACAGGTGCCTATATCAATGATTGTCAACTGACAGCACAATGAGTCAAAGGGCTAGCAGCAGCATGATGATGTTAAATGTGTTGCTTTAGGAACATCCATTGTAAATAAATGGAATTCAATAAACATTGAATAGCATATCATGCCGTTTGTCTGTGCCTTTTCCTCTGTGTTGTCCTGGCATATCGTCTCCCCCATGGTTTGCTGTGCTGCCTAGGGATGCTCCAAGCGCTCAGAGAAAGGAGTATGAATGTAAAGTTTCCCCACTGACACAGAGAGGAGGAAAGAATGGCAGGCTCAAGTCAGCAGGAGCAATTATATCACAAAAGACAACAACAGCAACAACATATGTGAGGTAATCATATTTTTCACAAAACGAAGACCACACCATTGGGAAGCTTAACGTCTGTTTAATCAAAATAAGGAACAGGGAGAGGCTTGAAAAACTCTGGGAGTTGAGACTCAGGTGCAGGGTGAGGGTCTCATTAAGCGTCTTTGAGTTGTGAAAAGCGCTATATAAATAAAATGCATTATTATTATTATTGCAGGTCTTCAGGCTCCATTGAATCCCCCTGGGGTTCTTGTGCTGAGAGAGGGAGACAGGAGAAAGGGTTAGATACATCTAGCAATAGGGTGGGAAATTGCTGACCTATTTTAAACTTACCTTGTGTTTTCACTCTCACTTAAGTCCCTCTCCCTTTGCCATCAATCCAAAATCAGCTGAGCTGCAACATAATACAGACAGGTAATAATCAACAGAATCACAAGGACATTATATGGCTCTGCTAAAAACACTCACCCATAAGTTACGTTTTTGTTTACTGTTTAGAAGTCTCAAATATCCACTCTAAATCCATATCAATAGCGATGGATCACACAAATAGCTCTCTTCCTTATTATTGTGTAACGTTAACTATATTATACTAGCTTGAACATCAAGATGGATATCCTCATTTCTCCACCCACTACAATCACACACCCCAATGTTATATTTAACTAATATGTAACTCCCTCCACCCCGGATAAAAGCACGTTAAGAAGCCCCCTTTTCTCTAATTCCACAACGTTGGAAGAAATAACATTAAGAGAACGGATTAATAGGCTGTTCATGGTTAACGTGTGTTGCTAACTTTAGCCGGTATCCTAGCCTCATCTGTCCGTTTGAAAATTAACGCAAGCATATGCCCATTGTAGAACAGGAAACAGAAGTTGGTCCAGGTTCTGGTCAACCCAACATTGTGATAGAGAGAGAAACATGTTTTGTCATTCTGCCACCTCTAATGCTTACAGCAAGTAATCAATACCTCAGAAGGGTTCATGTAGCTCAGGGGTGCCCAACCTTTTTTGAACCGAGAGCTACTTTTAAAGTTGCCAGTCTGCCGAGATCTACCAGTCCAAATAGAGAGGCCATTACTGACAGCCTACTACCAGGTAAATACACACTTCTACTTGTATAAAACTGACCTTTGTACGATTAATACTTCATAAAATACTGCAGATCCTTTATCTTACCTCTTTCTAATCTACAAGTCTACAATCTACAAGTATTTAACTGAAGTTACACAACAGTGTTGTTGATACAGAGTTGGAGTTTATTCACACGTCACATACTACAGTGGGTAATGTTTTCAAGAAACATTGAACAGTGCTGCCACATATGACACAGGGAAAAAAGAAAATACTCTGAACCCTTTCTTTGCCATTATATAAAAATAGTGTTGCTACAAAAGTATAAATTAGGCTTACTAATAAGACAACTCAGATCTGAAGCTACACAGGAATCTGCTGCAACAGTGCAATAAAAAAGACAAAATTAATAGAATCAAACCCTTTTTTTGTTGCATTTTAGTAGAGTATACAAATAAATGCCTTTAAAATAGGATGCAAGCAACACTAGTTTCTTAACCTGAATTGATAATAGACTATAATCAATTTAAGTTTGCATTATTATACCATTTTGTACAATAATTATAATGAATAAGTTCAAACAAACTCAAACTTACAGCTGATTAATAACGGTATCTAACTTGAGTTGTTATCATATCAAAAACCTGTTGAAATGCTACTGTTATTTTTATTACGCATCGGCAGCCTCCAGGAATGCTTCTTTCACAACTTCACCGTCTTTGAAATACTTCATGTGTTTCGCAAGAACGTGCCTGACACGTTAAGATGCTATGGTAGCAGCCTTGCTCTTGTTGTTGGGCCTGGTGAAAATGGACTGCTGTGCATTTAGCTGTCCTCTCAGGCCACTCCCCTTTTGGGAGCGTAGGGCAGAATTAGGAGGGAATTCCGTCTCGTAGCGTTTGTGCACTGTTTTGAAATGCCGCTCCTAAATTACCCTTCTTCGATAAAGCCACGCTCGCATTGCAGATGAGACAGATGGACTTTGAATTGGAATAGATACAAACATAATCATCCTCCCACTCGGAGTGAAAATTATATATGTTTTGCTTCTGCCATAATTGCTGTCTTGTGTGTGTGCGGACTGTCACTCCTGTTGACACGGACAACGTTAGCGAACTAGTGCACTGCCCACTGCTCACCAGCCACGCCCCGACACATGGGGTCACGCCGGCCAATCACAAAGCTTTGATGCGTTCAAGTGCATTATTCTGGCACAGGAAGATTATGTTATAGGACATTAACGATAAAACAGAATATTGTTGTTCTATTTTTAGACACATCTCGCGATCGACTGGGAATCTCCCCGCGATCGACCGGTCGATCGCGATCGACTGGTTGGGCACCCCTGATGTAGCTACATGTAGGCTACGGTTTGTTAGCGGTTTGCTTAAACTACCCCTATAGCTATGTTGCCGGCTAGCAAACTCAGGCATTGCAAACAATAACGTGATATCAGAAAACTAGAAATGTATTACTCACCCAGGGGCAGTTCTAGACCAATTTGAGTGGGGGGGGCCACTGGGGGGTCAGTTATTTTCTGAGGGGGGGACAATAAATGCAGGACGAAAAAGAGAACTAGACAGTACGAAGTAATTGCGCATAAGAAAACAATGCAATACAGTTATTGGTATTTGTTTCAGTACACTTATTTATTTCAGACAGATCTTATACTGTTAGCTTCAGCATTACATTTATAGATTTTTAAATCCACAGAAAAGGATTTAATGCAAAAGTTTACAAATCTTAAATGTTGACTTTAAATGAAATAAAATACATGGATATAGATAGAAAACATAGATTTCAGATGTATTATTTCCCATAAGCACAGACAAGTAGGCTATTTAACAAACATGAAGACTGAACACACCTGTTCTGCACGCGCACTAATCAGTTTCGTCTATTCCGTCACATTTCTAATAAACATAAAACAGTGATATCTGGAAAACACAGATAGTTTCCTTCCCAAAACGTCCCATTACAGCAGTGGTTCTCAAACTTTTTCTGTCAGGCCCCCCCTTTGGAGAAAAAAAAAAAGTCGGGCCCCCCCAACACACATAGTCAGGCTCAGTGGCGGCGCCAGAGACTTCTTTTGGGGGTGCTGTGGGGTAGCTTGATGTTTCATAGAGGGTGCTCAAACATTTAGGGTTTCCCATTAATGTACCGGGCGCTACAGTGGAATTTTCTACTGCAACACTCTCCACACGCACATACACAGTGTTCCCGCAACTGTTACAACGAAGGCTCGATAATCAGCTCACGGCATATAGGTGTAAGCAGGGGTAAAGTGCTATTTTTATAGGTGGTGTGTGAACACATTGAGAGCAAAATAAAGAGATCTATGGATACCTCTCAACACCCAGATGAAACGGAACTGTAAACAGATTTACTTTTTCTTTATGGATATTTTACAAATCACCCTTTTAAACTTTATTCTTTTTTTAATGTCATATAGTATTTCATACCTGTTTTTCATTTATTCTCTTATTTTTGTATAACTATAATGATCATATAAATGTGTGCCTCGGAAATAATTGTTTACATTAATGGTGACCAAAACGTTTGAGACCCACTGAGATAACACTGAGAGAGTCCTTTAGCTCACTGAGTCTCTCAGTCTGACAGGAGAGGACTCTCCTCCACTTTGTTGTTGAAAAAACTCCTTATATCCGTTAGCGTAGCTCGCTAGCACCAGAAGCTAAGAACAACGATCTCCGGTACCGGTGCGCTCTCTCTCTCTCGCGCGCACACAAAATGGCTCGTTCCACACACACAGAGACCCAGACGTAATAGTACTGTACTGTATCATATTATTTTCGAATCAATAATTTTTCAAATTATGATTTTTTTTTTTTTTTTTTATATATATATTTTTTTTTATATAACCATTTTTCCTCCTGGTCTTTCGCGCCCCCCCCCTGGCATGCCTCTGCGCCCCCCAGGGGGGGCGCGCCCCACACTTTGAGAACCACTGCATTACAGCAACATAATCCTGCGGTTTTTGTGATTTTTGGCAAACCGATCAACAAATAAGTCAAGATTCAAAGCCTTTGACCTCCTTGACTCAATACTAAGCACACCCAGATTGCTCAGTCTCTCATCAGTGATGGTGGATCTGAGAAAAATGTTGACCAGTTTCAATGTAGAAAAACTACGCTCACAGGAAGCAGAACTGACTGGGATTGCGACTGCTATTTTGCAGAGTCTGAAGAGCTCAAAAAACATTTCTTTATAAGGTTCAATGAACTGAACAAGCTCCACTGTACTATCAGGTCTCTGCATCCCAGTCTTTATTTTCCTATCTAAAATTCTGCTGAACTGATGTAGCTCATGCCCCAAGTCCTCAATATTTGCATCATACAACGGAGCAAATGAAAACAGAGTTGTTTCCTTCAGAAATGCATCACTTTTGGGGTTAAGAGCTTGGATGCTATTCATCAGTTTGTGTTTGAAAACCGTCTATTAAGCTCATTGAGCATCTGATCAATGACAGGGTAGAAAAAGGCTGTACGAAACCCGTGTTTATCTTGTTCTGTCTCCCTCTGTCCAACAGTAGTCAGTACGAAGCTTTCAGCAAGTTTAGAGCTCAGTCTTTTTTGTCGTTTTGCTGCTGGCTGTATTGCTGTATCACATTGCTCAGAAATGTTCAACACTTCATCCCACAAGTTATCAAAAAATGACTCCTGTCTGAAGTCATTCAATGTCTGAACTAAAGATTCAACTAAATCCACAGCCTTTGAAAGGTCAAGGGATGAAGACTGTAACATGTCAGAGAGAAATGTTGTTTCTGCAAACACTTTACGGAGTGTTACAAGATGCACAATGAATTCTAGATCCAACTGTGCCAGCAGACCACGTGCCTCAATAGATCTCTCACCATTGCGTTCTTGGGCTATGTCTTGCAGTACTCGCTTGAGGGCCGGTAATCTATCCATTATGTTACGGAGAGATATAAATCTGCATGCCCATCTAGTGTCACTCAATCGCTGGAGTTCTCTTGTGGCACCTTCGTACATCTCTCTTTGGATATCTAGCCATTTGGGGTGGACATACGACCCAGATGTGAAGACGTATAGCTTTTCTAGTAAGGAGAAGAACTGCTCTGCTTCTGGGACAGCTTTGACTGTATCTACTAAAACTAGATTTAGACAGTGAGCATTGCAATGAACATAAAAAGCATATTTAGCTTGCTCTCTGATTCTAGCCTGGACCCCTGAGTGCTTACCGCTCATGACAGCAGCACCATCATATGCTTGGCCTACAAGGTTGTTTTTGTATTCCAGACCGTTACTTTCCGATATGTGAATTATTTTTTCAGTAAGCCCTGCTGCATCTAGCCTCTCTACTGACTCAAAATGGAGAAAACTCTCCTGGATAGCACCATTGAAGTAGTACCTGACTACAAGAGAAATCTGTTCTTTTTTTTAACATCTTTTGTTTCATCTGCCATGATGCTAAAGACTGTTTTTCACTTCCTCTGTTATTTCAGATCGAACCATGTCTGCAAGACAACCCAGAACTTCATTCTGAATGGTTTTGCTTGTGTACTTTGCATTATGAATGGAAGTCAACCTTTTTTTAACAGCTTTGTCATGGTTAGCAATTGTCTCTAGAATGGTCATGAAGTTCCCTTTATTATCTGAGCCTGCAGACTCATTGTGTCCTCTTTGAGCAATGTTTTGTGTCAGTAAGTAAGTAAGTAGCAGCACTTCGGCTATGGTTTTTATATATTCCCGATTTTCTTGAACCAGTTTCTTATGTTCTTTGTTAAGTACATTTGCCAATGTTGCATTGTATGTCACAGCTCTCTGGTAGTCTTTCCATGCAATCATTGCGTGCGTGTGCCGCTCAGATTTGGCATGGATTGCAAATCCCCCCTCTTTGTATGTTGCCTTCTTCCAGTTTTTGAAACCTGAAGGTGAATCAAATACAGTGTCTGTGCTATTCGGAGGGCTAAAATGTCTGCAGGCGTAACAATGAGCAGAGTCTGACATTTTGGAGTACTCAAGCCAGGGGTGAATCTTGTACCAGTCAGCCTTGAAACTCCTTCTCCGGTCGCCCATCCAGGTCCTTGGAAACAATTTAGGGTGTGGTTGCATTGGTGGCTCCTCTTTGCACTTGCTGATATCTGTGGAGAAAGATAACGCAAATAAATATGTTTATTATTATTATTATAATTGAAACAGATCATTATAAATGCACATTTACCAGAGCAATGAACAACCACAAATTAGATATCTATATTAATAGATTTATGACACGAAGCTGCTTTCTCCCTGTTATATTTGGTTCATGTTATTGTCCTGTCCTATTTGTGATGTGTGTGAGCCATGTCCTCCGTATGTTTTTGTCTTTGAAAATGTTTAATAAAATATAAATGTTTAAAAAAATGAATTAGTATCACACACACTCATTTGATCTGTAACTAAGATTAAAGCAGGCACATTTGTTTTTCAAAATCACAAACCTGATATTCCAGTACTTGTGGATCTATCCTCTATCTCACTCTCGATTTCATCCTCAGCCTCACTCTGTGACTCCCCATCTTTCTCTGCCTGCTCTGAACCTTCAATTTCCAGATCAGTCTCTCCTGAAAAGTCCTCCGGCTCTGTCTCTGTGGCAATCTGCACTTCCTGCTGTGTGTTAATGTCTGCCTCATCATTTTTTTTTTGGGGGGGGGGCGAAAAATGACATAATGTCCTTTTTTCGCTTCATTTTGAAACCATAGAGCAAACACAAAGGAGGAGGACAACAATTCAGCAACGCAGAATATAAATGTATAACCGCTAGATATATTTCACAACTATATAGCTAGGGTGACCAGGTGTCCCGCTTAAAATAGAACGAAATGGCGGGATGGTGGTGTAAAATGGAGCCTGGGACAAAGAAAATGCAGCTACAACAAAGCCTGGGAAGGTACTTATTATTGGGTAAAACCGGTGGATGGAGATTCCACCCAGAGCGTGTTCTGGCTCGGTTCGCTGACGGCCGGTGTTCCGGATTAACTTGTTTCCCGATCAACTTGTTTCCCAATCAACTCGTTTCCGTGGGGTGCGTGGCTTTCGACTGAAATACACATTTCGATCGCTTTCTTCTGTCGTTTACATACATCTTTTGGTATATTTGGCTTCTTAGGAACACGTTGATGCACATCCAGTACCAGTGTGTGAGGTTGTGATTACGATGGCGATATCCAGACGCGAACAACGAGGACTACAACAAGACAAACGAGTTGCTCGAATAAATAATTTAAACCAGCTATTGTTTCCAGACTTATTACGGAATATCGTTGTTAATGTCCAAGTCCATCTGTGTATACCTTCAGACAGCCTCCAAGTGAAGCACACGGTGTTTACTCACAGTTTGAAAGCAGCGTGGAGAAGTCTTCATCCGTGTTAAACTGTGATCCTCCCACGGAACTGGGACCCGCCCACGTTAAAATGTGACCCGCCCACGTTAAATTGTGTTACGATTTCTGTGGCTATCTACCAGCGATCATGTTTAATATGAAAGACTACCCACACATGTATCCCTTATAAAAACGGTATTGTGCAGCACTCATCCAGATAAGATGTGACTGTTACCTCGTTTTGCAAAGATAGCAGCAGAAATGTCATTGGGGATATTTAGACTTTAAAATGCTGCTTGGTCGTGAATGTTGGTGTCGGCAAACAATATTACGAATCCTCTATTCAAACATAATAATTCAATGTGCATCGACATGAAAATAACAAAAAAGTTCATGCTGGACTCAAACCCGAGTCCCAACAGTAAAAATCAATCATGCCCTTTGCGTTATGAGTGCGCCACGAATCTTCACGTCCTAACAAATCACCACAGCTTATTTTGTTACATTAATATTGTCAACAAGTTCTAGAAAAATGCAATCCGACATCATATTGACAACAATAATAGTTAGTAAAGGATTTATTGATGTGAATGTTTTGAACAGTGAATACTTATTGTAAATCGCTTTGGATAAAAGCGTCAGCTAAATGTCATGTAATGTGATGTAACAGGCATCAACACAGCGACTTTATTTATTGTTCTCTGGTGATCTGTTAGGACGTGTTGAATGGAGAAGTCTTCATCTGTGTTAAACCGATCCTCCCACGGAACTGGTTAAAATGTGACCCGCCTAGATTAAACTGTGACCCGCCCAGGTTAAAATGTGACCCGCCTAGATTAAACTGTGACCCGCCCAGGTTAAACTGTTACGATTTCTGTGTTCACTGTTCAAAACATTCACGTCAATAAATCCTTTACAAACTATTATTGTTGTCAGTCTTACATTTGTATCATATATTATTATCAATATGATGTCGGGTTGCATTTTTCTAGAACTTGTTGACAATATTAATGGAACAAAATGAGCTGTGGTGATTTGTTAGGACGTGAAGATTCGTGGCGCACTCATAACGCAAAGGGCATGATTGATTTTTACTGTTGGGACTCGGGTTTGAGTCCAGCATGAACTTTTTTGTTATTTTCATGTCGATGCACATTGAATATGTTGTTTGAATAGAGGATTCGTAATATTGTTTGCCGACACCAACATTCACGACAAAGCAGCATTTTAAAGTCTAAATATCCCCAATGACATTTCTGCTGCTATCTTTGCAAAACGAGGTAACAGTCACATCTTATCTGGATGAGTGCTGCACAATACCGTTTTTATAAGGGATACATGTGTGGGTAGTCTTTCATATTAAACATGATCGCTGGTAGATAGCCACAGAAATCGTAACACAATTTAACGTGGGCGGGTCACAATTTAACCTGGGCGGGTCCCAGTTCCGTGGGAGGATCACAGTTTAACACGGATGAAGACTTCTCCACGCTGCTTTCAAACTGTGAGTAAACACCGTGTGCTTCACTTGGAGGCTGTCTGAAGGTATACACAGATGGACTTGGACATTAACAACGATATTCCGTAATAAATCTGGAAACAATAGCTGGTTTAAATGATTTATTCGAGCAACTCGTTTGTCTTGTTGTAGTCCTCGCTGTTCGCGTCTGGATATCGCCATCGTAATCACAACCTCACACACTGGTACTGGATGTGCATCAACGTGTTCCTAAGAAGCCAAATATACCAAAAGATGTATGTAAACGACAGAAGAAAGCGATCGAAATGTGTATTTCAGTCGAAAGCCACGCACCCCACGGAAACGAGTTGATTGGGAAACAAGTTGATCGGGAAACAAGTTAATCCGGAACACCGGCACCCCCCTTTATTATTTATTTATTTTAAACGGCATCATTTAAGGCGCTGACATGTCATGTGACAGATGATGAAAGCAAACTGTTTGCTGTCGCTGATTACTTTGCACACTACGTTAACTAACGTTAGTCAACAACAACACTTACTGACCTAAAGTCTTACCTTGTAACAATTACACGGATATAATAGTTTAACTCACCTTCAATTATCGTCGTGGTGGTCTCTGGAAACGTAGGTTTCAATCAGTCTTTCACTCTTTCTTGGATGCACAACAGCCTTTGATGATCCGAGATGAAAAGTGTTTATTTTTCGCGCGCTTCAGCCGCACAGTGAAACCGAGTGCACCGCTCTAATGGGTCCTGAGTGCACCGCTCTAATGGGTCCGACTAGAATGACGAATAACGTTAGTTCCGCCTATTCCGCAATTCAATAAATCGTGTAATAAATTTTTTTTTTTTTTTTTTTTTCACTTTTCATTGTTAGGGGGGTCAGAGGTCAGTGTGAGGGGGGCACTGCCCCCCCCTAGAACCGCCCCTGCTCACCTGACACTGTGGCGTGCTATTCTCTTCATTCGAGTCTGTCATGTCCTGTAAATGTCAACGATAGATGTGTAATAAGAACGTCAACAGCCTGATGGCAACCGAAAATCCCTCTCTCATCTCAGATAGAAGATATGATTGGAGACGACCAGCCAATCAGAATTGACCTTCTCGAGTTCTCCGATTGGTTGGTTTTGTGGCACATTTGTAACGCTGTGACAACTTGAGCGAGCGCAGGCAAAGCTGAGCGCGCACAGGCTGGAGAGGTCGAGCGAGCGGGGGAGAGAGAGCGCGTGTAGCGGTCTGCTTGCGCACGGAGCAGGAGTTTTATGAGAGAACATATATTTCTCTGTGCTCAAAACTGTTCAAGTGCGCGCTCAATAGCATTTTCTATGCTCAACATGTTTCATTGCGTGCTCAGGATAGAGGCACAAATATAACGCCATACCCCTGCGGAGGTCCCTGACGCACCGCGGCCACTCTCACGAGGGCCGCGCGCCCACGTATTAACGCTGTATTTCCCATTCAATGGTTAAATGCATTAATCGGAGCTATTATACCAGGCAAGCAGAGTTCCCGTTAGCCGGTAATTACCGGACTACGACCGGTAAAATATGCTGAAGACCGGATAATCGAAATCTCTCTGGTCAAAGTGTCCGTTCAAAATAATTTCCCTTTAGCGCAATACCGCATCAGTTGCGCAATTTGCGCCACTTATGTGAGAGACGAGAATAGTCAACTCTAATGTCTAACACTTAATGTGGAGAAAGAGATGTCCTGTATGGGTTGATTGTGCGTTGATCTGTTGGTAATGCCTCGGGGTTCCGGTGGGCATGTAAACAAATGCATAATGCTGCGCTATACTTTGTGGCCTCACCAGTGCTTGAATTGGAATGAAAAAGGTGCCAGTACTCTAAAATCAGCAACTTTTTCAAGTCAATTTCATATATACAGCCCACAAACAAGAATTTGGCTACTATAATGCTGGTGGGTTTGTCTCTTTACTACTGTATATTTTAGAAAGGTTCACTGTACTTAACATTTTTTATGATAGGCAGCGGATATGGCTAAAGCTCAGTAAGGTCAATATTAACTGAAAATATAGCAATCAAAGTCTAGATCTTTTGCTGAAGACACATGAAGCAGAGACCTTTCAGGTGAGAGCCCCTCTGGTGGTGTTCAACATTAATGACAAGGAAACAAAGCTCTGGTCAGAAGCATTTTTTATAAAAAGCTTTAACAAAATTAAGTATTTCTGTACATTTTGAATGCAATCTAACTTTCCAACTCAGAAAACGAAAAAGTGCCAAAAGTCTTCTCACATGGCTGAGCTGCTTTGCAATATACTTCACCACTGAAGAATACAAATATGTATAAAGTAAACTATGATGCAATCTAACTTTCCAACTCAGAAAAATGATAAAGAGCATGAACAAAGAACATGTAAAAACAAATGCAAAATTTGCACAATCTAAAATGAGAAACTGTAACTGCAAGTAACAAAGTCTGAGCCATGGTAAAGAGTTACATTGAACACCAAGCTGATCAGATAACTCCCTGGTTGGTCTGAAGTCCTTCTATCTCCAGGATCTGTACAAATCGGCACATTATGCCAAAAGTCTTCTCACTGGGTGAGCTGCTTTGCAATATACTTCACATTGTTAGAAAAGGCTCCAGAAGGCCTTGGGGACATCAGTATCAGGGGCTGGAGCTGGACAGGCTCTTTCATCAGCACTTCTCCTTCCCTTTGCCAGCCAGGACCTCACATACTGTTCCGGATTGAACTGTCCTAGTGATGGTCCATTACATTTAATGAAAACCAGGCTGGACAGTCGGCTGACAGAGAGAGCATTCCTTTTTGCAGTAAGGATATCGT